ACATGTATGCATGCATATTAGCATAACCAATGGACACGGACGCTGGGGCGGTGGGGGCTTGTCCTGGGGGGTGGGAGTGACCAGGGAGTGTGGGGAAGCATGGGACTTGGTTGGAAAGTCTGTAAGGAGGAATCTTCAAAAGGTTGGGGGCCTCTAGGAAGGCCTTGCCTTTTCCAAACAAGTCTGAGCCCCCGGGTGTTTCACTGGAATCTTTATATTTAGACTTCCGAACATCCTTGCTTAAAGGACACTACAGACGCATGTGTCTTCTCAAGGATGCTTACCCTGCTGATAGTATCTAATAGTTAATTTTAGTTCAAGCTGTTACAATAAAAGCCTAAGGAGGCAGGCAAACAGGGCTGCTTGGTTGCTATAGCCAAGCAGTCCTTTAGCCCTCTCTTTCACAGAAACATGTGTCAGAGTAATCCATTTATCCATAGCTCAGGGTCTGCTAGTCAGCCTTGGCAGGGGAGGGGTCGATCAGGGAAAAAGACATATGTAATACTTTAAACAATTAAAAAAAAAAGTTTAAAGTCTAAAAAAAATTGATCCAATGGTAATTTTTATTATTCTTATTACCCTTTCAGGCAAATATTTTCAATGGATCCTCTTTAATTTCTTCTTTTATAGTTTCATGGTTAATATTTAATGCTTAAAAATCTTTGATACTTGTAACAGTATTCTGGGTTGTTGTGAAAAAGTTTAAGCATAAGTTAAGATTTTTTTCCCCCCGTGTTGCAACAAAATCTAGTTTTTTTTGCAGTTATCTGCTTCATTCTTTTCCCCCTTTTTATTGAATTTATTGGGGCCTCATTAATTTCTATTGCAAGCCCAAGCTGTTTAGTCTCATTCTCAAAATTCTGACAGATATTAAGATACCCCAACCTATCTCGCCACTATTCACACTTCCATCTGCTCTGTTCCTCACCATAACTAACTCTTTTGCAACTGTTTGTTGACACTTCCTAATTATTGATCCCATGTCTTCTCATATGTTATGCCTATAAAGTCTCCATCAAAAATGTATTAGTCCTTTTCTCTCTAGTTCAGTTTCAACTACTGGCTTTTATATTTTTTTCTGCAAGAGCCCTGTACTACCACTCACCCAGGTTCAAAATCTTGAAGTCATTCCTCCCCCCTGCCCCACCCTCACAGGAGAGCACACAGTCCCCCACCACCACAAATTATGCAGTAGAATTCCTCACATTTGAGGAAATCACAGGGGTCAGCACATCCAGAGTGCAATAAATAAGCCTCACCCTGGGAAAACCACCTTCGTGATCATGGTATCTCCCCTGCCAGGCAAGTATTGAAGCCATTCTTTACTCTTACTTTACATGATACTTGCCACCTAACAAATACTTAAAATAAGGTGAATGAAATGGGTGTTGTTACACTGAGCCATATGTTTCAATGTGACTTACTTTTAGAATGCTAGTTCCTAAAAGGTAGGGGCCACATCTCCTATCTATTCTGTTCTGCCTCCAGCATATTGCCATGTTTGGTGGCCAGCCTCCAGATGGTCCCCAATGATCCTCACCTTCCTGGTATTCAAGCCCCTGTGTAGTCCCCTCCCACACTGAATAGGATACTATAGAAAGGACAGAATGACTTCTAAGGCTATTCATAAACGACATCATGGACCATGTGATCTGGGAGAAGCCAGCAGCCATTTCAGGAGAGCATTCAAATAGTACTATGGGGAAGCAAGGAACTGAGGCCTCATGCTAACAGCCTGCACAAACTGGCCAGCCACGTGAGTGAGCTATCTTATATAATTAGATCTTTCAGCCTTGCTCAAGTCTTCAGACACTGCAGCCCAGCCAACATACTGACTACAACCTCGTGAGTTCCAAGCCAGAACCACCTGGCTAAGCTACTCCCAAAATCTGGATTCACAGAGACTGTGTAAGAGAGTTGGGGTTTTTTGTTGTTGTTTTGAGCCATTAAGTCCTGGGTAATTTCTTATGCAGCAATAGGTAACTAATACTTGGTTACTAATTTATTTGATTAAACAAAACACCAACATCTTCTCAAAGATCTATCAGATTATTAAAGACTACAGGAGAGGAAATTTTATAATCTGCTTGAATGAGTATCTAAAGCTAGCTAAGCTTCTCCTTTTCAGGGTCATCCTAGAACTTCAAGTACCTCCTTCTTCCCGTTATTTTCAGAGTGCCTAAAAAAGGGGAGAGTTTAGGGGTATACATGATAAGAACAAAGATTTGTCCTGTAGTTATGTTAGTTGGTATAATTAATTTCTACATGATTAGTGTACCTTCAAATGTTTATTCCTTAAAATATAATAAGTCTATCAAGCCATGAATATTCATCACTAGAGCCATATTTACAAGGGTTTCAAATATGTCTTTGGGCAATGAGCTTTCAAACCATCAGGTGGTTATCTGTTCATCTCTACAAACATGTGCCTGCTATGGGTGCAAGTAGCACTGGTCTACAGTCTAGTCTGGGACAATCAGCAACTAGAGAAGGCTAAATGAATGCTAACTAGGAACCAGACTCAGGAATAACAACTATGGTCCTCCTGTCCCTCCCTCACATATAAAGCCAGCTTCTTCCAGCTATAAGTTTTTTTGGAAAGATTGCTGCAGCTGCCAAAAGTTTCCAGTAAAATCTCTGAGCTTACACCTTGGGAATCCAGAACAGCTATCATCATATCTTCTCTACTTACAAAGAGTTTTAATTAAAAATAAATAAATAAATAAAAAGAGCCTGGCCAGTGTCACTTAGTGGTTTTTGAGTGTCAACCTATGAACCAGGAGATCATGGTTTTATTTCCTGTCAGGGCACATGCCTGGGTTACGGGATCGACCCCCAGTGGAGGGCATGTAGGAGACAGCTGATCAATGATTCTCTCTCATCATTGATATTTATTATTATTATTATTGATCTTTTTACAGAGAGGAAGGGAGAGGGATAGAGAGTTAGAAACATCAATGAGAGAGAAACATCTATCAGCTGCCTCCTGCACCCCCCCTACTGGGGATGTGCATGGAACCAAGGTACATGCCCTTGACCGGAATCGAACCTGGGACCCTTCAGTCCACAGGCCGACACTCTATCCACTGAGCAAACGGGTCAGGGCTCATCATTGATATTTCTCTCTTTCTCCCCCTCCCTTCCTCTCTGAAATCAATAAAAATATAAATAAATAAGGAAAGAGAGAGAGAGAGAGGAGTGCTCATTTCCCTAGGAATCAGAAATCATGTCAAGTTTCTTGACAAACTCCCCACAACTATTTCCAATGCAAAGCGGATAGAGATTTCTTGTATGTCCCCAGCACCCTCTGCTACATTAGAGTTCAACTGAATTTTAAATCTATGTTTGATACTTTTCATGGAGCATCGTCAATAATATATTTAACATATTACATATAGTCCTTACTACAAAGTACAAAAAATGTCCTGGTAGCAATGTGTCACTGTCAAAACCAATATTAAATCACCAATTTTCAGAAAACCAGGTTAACTAACCTATGCTTTCTTCTCCTTCCTTCTTTTCTGTCAGAAGAGTTCTTGTCATGCTGAGCTTCTTCATCGTATGGCATTTATATTTTAGCACTGTTTTATTGTTGCCTTCTGCATCCACTAGAACATAAAATAAACTCAATTATTATACTATAATACAATAGTACAAATAAAATAATCATGTTAAGCCTCAATAATTCCAATTTAGTGAGTTACACAACTTCCTGTCTAGATAGTGGAATAAGTTCAAGATTTAACTCATCTCTCCTGCTCCAAGCATAGAGAAATGACAGATAAAATACATAACAACTGGACTCAAAACAACAAACAACTCCAGGGGACAGCCACACAGAACTATGAGTGAAATTAAAGTGATGGGCCTGCTAGGTTCCAGCCCTGAAGTAAGAAAGTGAAGCCAGAAACTTGGCTTTACAGGTTAACACAGTGATGGCGAACCTATGACACACGTGTCAGAGGTGACACGCGAACTCATTTTTTTGGTTGATTTTTCTTTGTTAAATGGCATTTAAATATATAAAATAAATATCAAAATTATAAGTCTTTGTTTTACTATGGTTGCAAATATCAAAAAATTTCTATATGTGACACGGCACCAGAGTTAAGTTAGGGTTTTTCAAAATGCTGACACACCGAGCTCAAAAGGTTCGCCATCACTGGGTTAACGAGATCTAAAATTCTACCACGCTTGCCCTAGCTGGTTTGGCTCAGTGGATAGAACATCGGCCTGCGGACTGAAGGGTCCTGGGTTCAATTCCAGCCAAGGGCACATTCCCGGTTGCGGGCTCGATTTCCAGTAGGGGGCATGCAGGAGGCAGCTGATCAATGATTCTCTCTCATCATTGATGTTTCTATCTTTCTCTCTACCTTCCTCTAAAATCAATAAAAAAATATTAAGAATAAATAAATAAAATAAAATTCTACCACACAAAATTACCAATAGTGAGAGAAGAATGAGAAAAGTCATGCTGCCAACCCCACTGTCTGGGGTTACAGCTTTACAGAAAACTGTGGGCACAGGCAGGAGGGAGGATGAGGATCTGAGCTAAGGATGTGAAACACACTGCAAACTTCCATACACTGCTCCTAGGAGTGTAACTGATGTGTTAGAAAGCAATATAGTAAGTGGAACTACATGAAACTGTCAATTTTCAGCCCAAATAAGTCATTTCATATTGGTGAACCCAACACAGTCATCAATCTATCTCATTTTTAAGTGTATACCTTAAACATTTTTACATATATGCACAGGGAGAGTAAAAATATTCATGGCAGCATTTTTGTAGTGAGTTAATAAGCATAATTAAGAACATAGACTCTGGAGCAGACAATCTGGGTTCAAATCCTGATTCTGCCTCTTTGTATATGACCTTGCAAATGTTATTTATCTCTCTGTGCTTCAGGGTTTTTTTTTTCCAATATAAAATGAAGATAATAATGGGATCTACCTCGTAAACTTGTGAGGATTAAATGAGTTAACACATGTAACGTTTAGAATAGTGCCTGACATATGTAAAGAAGGCATTCAATAAGTTATTACTAACTAGAGGCCCTATGCACAAAATCCATGCAAGGGTAGGCCTTCGCAGCCCTGGCTGTCTTGGCCTTCATGGCCCCTGCTGCCTCTCAGCCCTGTGGCCCCACCCCTCACCCACTGGTCATTCAGGAATGTCGTTCCACCGTCCATTCTAATTAGCATATTAGCTCTTTATTATATAGGACTAGAGGCCCGGTGCACAAAATTTGTGCACTCAGGGGGGTCCCTCAGCCCGGTCTGTGCCCTCTCGCAGTCTGGGACCCCTCGAGGGATGTCCACCTGCTGGCTTAGGCCCGCTCCCTGGTGGATTGGGCCTAAGCTGGCAGTCAGACATCCCTCTAGCAGCCCGGGAGCCCTCGGGGGATGTCCACTTGCCAGCAGGGAGCAGGCCTAAGCTGCAGTCAGACATCCTTAGTGCTGCTGAGGAGGCGAGAGAGGCTCCCGCCACCACCACTGTGCTGGCAGCCATCAGCCTGGCTTGTGGCTGAGCAGAGCTCCCCCTGTGGGGGTGCACTGACCACCAGGGGGCAGCTCCTGCATTGAGCATCTGCCCCCTGGTGGCCAGTGTGTGTCATAGTGACCAGTCATTCCCAGTTGTTCTGCTGTTAGGGTCAATTTGCATATTACCCTTTTATTATATAGGATTACTGATAATAATGGAAGCAACCAACATGTTTGTTAACTGGAGAATAAATTGTGGTATAGTCACAAATGGAATACTAAGGAACAGGGAAAACAGAGTTATATATATCAGTATGTATAAGTCTCAAAACATATCTCTAATTAAAGATTATAGAATGATATGCATAATATGCTATAATTTAAAGGGTGTCCCAAAATTCCCGCAAGATTTGAATTTTGCGTGAGCATTAACAACAACAACAAAAAATAAAAGCCTAATTTTACTTGGTTTATTGAATCAGATTCTAATATCTGTTGCCCTTTGATTTCAATCCCTTCAATTTGATAAGCATTACCAAGTACCAATTATGGCCCAGGAGCAGGGACAACGCGGAACTGGAACAGCAGACCAACAGACCAACGAAGACCACGGCTTTGCGTATGTGCCAGCAAAGCC